TACATATACATACCTATGATAAACTTTAATTTATCAGTTAGGCACAGTGAGAGATTAACAACCATAATGAATAGTAAAATAGGACAATTATAATAATATAGCATAATAAAAGTTATGCGAATGTGGTCTCTCTGTCCCCCAAATTTCTTATTGTACTGTACGTCTTGTGATGATGTGACATGATAAAATGCCTACATGATGAGATGCAGTGAGGTGAATGACGTAGGCACTGTGACATAGCTGTTGACCTTCTGATCATACATTAGAAAAGGAGATCATCTGCCTCCAGACTGCGGTTGACTGTGGGTCACTGAAACCGCGGATGGCGGGGTGGGGGCAGGGGGCCGACTGTATTCCTTTGTCGATCTGTACCACACTCATTTATCCATTCGTCTGTTGGCTTGCTTTGGCTATGGGTTGCTCTGGGTTGCTTTCCCCCTTTTGGCTATTGTGAATAATGTTGTTATGAACATGGGTCGATAAATATCTGTTTGAGTCACTGCCTCCAGTTTTCTGGGGTGTGTACCCGAAAGGGCAATGACTAGATCGTATGGCAATTTTATGTTTAGATTTTTGAGGAACCACTACTATGCTGCCCCATAGGACTTTGCACAAACCCAGTGGCATATGCAACTGTGCCGGCCCTGTCCGAACCCCTCTGCCTGAGGAGCCCCCCGCTCTCCCCCAGCACTGCATAGGCACACACAGAGGTTCTGCAAGGTGGTGGGGCTCCTGTCTTTAGAAGCAGCGAGGGAGCTCATGCAGACACATCAATCAACACCTCTCCTGGAGTCCAGTGACCAGGGGACAAACCTCAATCTTTTGTGGTGTCTGAGACCATCCATCACTAGGATGGCTTGGGTCACATCGCCATCTGATTTGTTCTCCAAGCGGAAGCCCCCCTCCATGACTTTCTTTTCTTACCTCTTCGTCTGAATTCCCTCACTCAGTTAATTAGCATGCCTGGCACTGTAGCTTAAGACTTTAATCAGCGTGGGGTGGTTTTAATTAATCGTGTGGCTCTGCATCTGGAGTGGTTTGTGTTCCAGGGTCAGAAGAGGAGCCGACGATGGGGGAAGGGAGAGGCGGCTTTGTTTGGTGTAAGGTGTGGGCGGAGAATCTGGGGACTTGCGGGGAAAGAATCGCAATGCCATGGTGCTCGGAAGCCACCTGGGCACCCGTACAGCTTCCTAGCAAGGTGCGGAAGGTAACCTGAGCCATGAGGGTATAGAATCGCACCAAGATAAATGATGGATAATCCGTCTAGTTTTCAGAAGTGACCTCAAGTGTCAGAAAGTTTTCTGTTGCTTTCCAGAATTACCCATGGGGTGGGGAGTGAGGCAAAGCAGTCGTATAGATGGGGAGATGTAGAGTCAGTCTGGAAGGTGTTGGCCGTTCTGGGGAATGCTGCCAAAAAATGGGCCTTTGAAGGTTTCCCAGGACCGACCTTCCTTGGGAAAGGCGAGGTGAGTGACACCTACCTCTCAGGTAATGGTAACCTTTTTGCCTGGTCTATAGCATCCACACTTTAGAAAGAATGGGGGGGAAAAAACGAGATAAAGCTCAGGAGAGTAATCAAAAATGACTGAGTGTATACATAGAAAGATCCTAAAAGAAAAGGTCGAGAGAAGCTGGGTCTCATGATAACTGCCTAGGAAGGACTTATGCCCCTGTCCCACAGGGATCTATCTAGATGAAAAGCAGAGAAAAAGACAAGTCTGTTACAGTATCTGGTAAAAGCACTGACTAAGTCCAGGAAGCAGGGCTGCCCCGGAGTTTCATCTCAGATGAAGCGATGGCTGCTGGTTAGGGGCAGACAGCACAGTTCAAGGAGGAAACAGTAATATCAAGGTGCTAAAGAAGAAAAATTCCTCCCGGCCTACTATACTCCTGGTGGAGTTCGTGGGTCCAGGGAAACCTGCCGGAGCAGTTTCCTGTGGTGTGGTAGAGAGGTAATGTGTCAGTGCAACGAAGAACGAGACATTAAGGACAAAGATGACAATAATAACCGTCACTTATAATGTCCTTGTGTGTTTACAAAGCAACTTCACACCTATCAGGTGATCTGTGCTCTGGGAAATCCCGTGAATTCGGGAGGTGCAGGGAGATTTTTATCTCCGTGTTTAAAGACGAGGGAAAATGAGACCCAGAGGGAGAGGAGGACCTCACTGCTGGTAAATGGTGGAGTCGGGATTTGAATCTCACTCTGTGGGCTCCTACACTCTTTCCAACCAAACTAAAATCACTCTCATTTAGAATGGGGAGAGGAAGGAGTTTATAATTCTAGGTATTGGCGTTATTAAACACCAGTTGCAAGATATTTTTAGAAATCTGAATGCAAAGCCTTTTGAGAACGTCAGGTTCGCCAAGCAGCTGGCATACCCCCAGAGCCCCACGGCCCATCCATCGAAGACAGATTATAGAACATGTCAATGGGAGAAACTGGGGAGGATATTAATTAAGTTTAGACCAAGAAAATGCTTTTGATTGAACAAGCCATGATTTTCTCCTTAAGCCCATGCAAAATATGGAGTGCTAGACAAGCATCTGGAACACATGAAAACATTATTATGTACTTGTGTTACCAACTTTCACCATCTATGGCCCCTTTTATTACTTTTTCCCCTCCAGGCATCATGTTTTCAAAGATTTTTGCCTGCTAAACAAGCTGCATTTATTAAGTAATAATATATTTCCTATTCTTAATGTGGGACATACATCACTGAGTATGCACACAAAAAAGAAAACAGAAACAATCCAATTTCCATTACGCTTTGGGAAATATTGAAAATCGCGTGAGGACCTTATTACCACTCATGGATTCCGGGGAGTCCAGGTACTCTGGGCTGGGAACCCCTATTTATATGCTTACATGAACAGCGTGTCTGTGCCCACTTAAGGGATGAGGAGAGACATTAAAGAGGCAATAGGAATAGGGTAAGTTCCTGGCTAGGTGTAGAGCCCGCAGGGTAATTTGTACGAAATTGATTGTCAGAATTAATTGCAAGAATGGGAAGGTTGCATGTAGGCAGAGCTCAGGCGTGGCCCCTGCAGCTTACATGAGCAGTGATAACGGGAAAGATAAAATCCCACGAGTGCCAAAAGATGTCTGAGAGGGCCACAAAGGCCAAGGGCAAAGCTAGAAGAATGGGAGGAGGAGGCCAACAGGTAACTAGGAAGAAGTAAAAATGCAGCACGCGGTCAGTAAGATGGCTCAGCGGGCACCTGAGGAAACAAAACAAGAAGGTATATAAAGGGAGTAAGTAAATGAAGGTGGAAAGGGAAGAGCGATCATATGGGGTTTGGTTTAATTACTAATTAATTCCAAAAGACAGTCTTGAGACTAATTGAGCAGACCCTGGTGCCAATTGGCCTGTGCGTGAGCTACAAGTAGCCCCTGCCAAGTGTACATCATTTTAGGGAGTCAGATGCCCGTGCAGCAGCATGGGATGCAGCCTGTGCATTTACCTACGAAACACGGAGGCTTGGTCAGGTCGGTGTGGTTTGTACTTCTTGGTGCCTGTTGTCTGATGGCGAAAAATTAAAAAGGGGCGGCCACATCAAATTCTCTTAGCACAAGCTGAAAAATTAGGTAAGAAGTCTTCCGCTGAGATAAAAAGGTGCCCCAAATAGAAAAGGATGATTAAAAAAAACCTTTTTGTGAGGAAGAAACTGGCAAACTAGAGAATAAAGACCAAGGCTATTGAAAGAAAATTAAAATTCATTTGATCCTGGGTATCGTGATTAAGTACCTCCTATGTACCAGGCCCTGAGAAGTCATGTAAAAAGACATCCAGGCGAAGCTACATTGGAGAACAAAGAAATGCAAAAGATCTTTCCGAGCGTGCAGGCAATGGAAGCAATTGGGCTAGGCAGAAACGTCGCGTGGAGCATTTTACATTAATAAGTGGCTGGCAAAAGCAAGTGGAAGGTTCTGGGGTTGGAGAGGAAGCCTCCAGTCATGAAAAGGGTGTGAGCAGGAGGAGAGGTAGCAAAGGCTGTTCTATGAAGGCACCAGAATGAAACACCTTTAGAGCCAGTTGGGCAACAGCATGAGAAAGAGAGAGGGCAGGTTAACAGCTACAAGGTGAGGTCAAAGGCATGGAGAACAAGAACGAGAAGAGTCTTGGATTTGGCTTGTGTGCTCTCTGGGACCGCACAGATGATGAAACAAAAGGAGGGGAACCAAGAAGAAGGCAGAACACTGGAAAGAAAGAAAGAAAGAAAGAAAGAAAGAAAGAAAGAAAGAAAGAAAGGAAGGAAGGAAGGAAGGAAGGAAGGAAGGGAGGGAGGGAGGGAGGGAGGGAGGAAGGAAGGAAGAAAGAAAGAAAGAAAGAAAGAGGAAGGAAGGAAAACAAGAATGAAGAAAGAATAAACAAATAAACATTTGGGTTTATTATATTAATAATAATATTAATATTATAAGTCAGTAGGTCATGGATTGGATGTTTGTAGAGATATTTTGGGGTTTTGACAGTGGGAAAGTTTAAATACGTCTATATAAATATCTTTCATAACAATTTATATGAACTCTAAGGAGGTTGTTTTCAAAGACTCCCGAGAGAATCACAGGTGGCTGTCTCCCCTGGATGCTTATGTGGCCACCTGCTCAAATACTATTTGGGGGCACCTGGGTGGCTCAGTAAGTTAAGCATCTGACTTTAGCTCAGGTCATGATCTGGCAGTTTGTGAGTTCAAGCCCCACATCAGGCTCTACACTGACAGAGAGGACCCTGCTTGGGATTCTCTCTCTCTCTCTCTCTCTCTCTCTCTCTCTCTCTCTGCACCTCTTCCACTTGTGTGTCCTCTTTCTCTCTCTCTCTCAAAATAAGTAAACCTTCTTTTTTCTTTTTAAGATCCCTTCTGGTTCTGGAGCTCTGGACCTCTTCACATTCCTGCAATGATTTAGGTGATATATCTCATAGAATAGTGTCTCTTCCTGGTGAACGCTGGGTGTTCTGCAAAATCCTAATCACCCTTTTCTTGTCCTCCTGTCCTAGCTCACTAGAGTCCCTGTGGAGTCCTGTGGTCAGTATCGGAGCTGCAGTGAGTGCCTTGGCTCTGGTGATCCCCACTGCGGCTGGTGTGTGCTCCACAACACGTGAGTACCTGAGTACCACTGGGCAGCTTCCTCCTGCCTCCTACTTCCCCACCCCACCCCCCACCTTGCCCTCCCATAATTCTCTTCCTCCTCTCCTTCCCTGTCACCAACCTCCTTCCCGTTGATCTCTCTTCTCTCCCTGCCTTTTCTTACTCTGCCTTTTTTGTATCCTTTGCAAATCCTATCCCCTTCTTTTGTTCTGACTTCACTTTAAATTGCCAAATTCCCATAAGAAATATATGCAAATATCAGCTTGGGAATGATGATGAGTTAGGATATGGAATCACAAGGGTAGTAACATTCTAGAGGGCTGGAGGGAGGTTCCTGGATATTTCTGACTATGGCTGTGGACTGATGTTCCAGGACTGAACACCAGGAAAAAGGCATTGATTGGACTTTTTTCTCAAGGCTCACATAAGCCACAAAATCATGTGCGAGATACATACTCTCCATTTAGTGATTCAACGTCCACATAACACTCTTCAATATCCACCCCTCAAAAAAACTTCTGGTATTTGAGGGGTATATTTTGAGTGTGTAGCACCCAAAGACCCTCCCTCTGCTGTCCATGCACTCATCTGGCTGTCAGGGGACCCTGGGCCTGGGGTCACTAGGCCAGTGAAGCCCCGTCCCAAGTGCTGGGTGTTCTCCCTATGTTCCCCTTAGTGCTGGTTCCACAGTATTCTCTAGAAGCTGGGAGAAGGCAGTAGTATATACAATGGAGGTAAATGGTGGTCTGATAAGTGATCTGAGGACTGGGATACAGGGTATAGACAACCAACCCAGACACATGGAGGGAACTAAAGGCACTTCTTTGGAGATCCAAAGACCCTTAGCATTGCTGACCGGAGAAGCCAAAAATAGTTGGGCCCCACTCGGAGGGAATTTGATCCCAGTTAAACTACTGCTGCTGGAACCCCAGACTTCTAGTCAACACTTGAAACAGACATGTTGCATGTTGGACACAAGTGTCATACGTTAAGGAGAAAGGCTTTAGTCTTCCTGCGAAGACTCTGAACTATGTGTGACCAACGACCATTTCTGGTCATTTTCAACTGTGAGAAGGTGGGGGGTGGGCAGGATCTTGTTTGCAGGAATGCTGGCTCAGAATTTAGGAATGCTTCTGAAAGTGAGAAATGTCCTCTTAGGTGTACATCCTCTCCAAGGGAGTGGTCACCCTCCCATCCCTGGGGAACAGGCTTATGCATAATGAGTCCTTGTGCTCTTTGAGGGAAGGTCTGAAATCCCTCATGTGTATTATGGTGGGAAAAACGGAGACCCACTGACCCACATAACTGAGAGATGACTGGAAACTGGGGGTGGGAACGTACTCAAATGTGTGTATGGTAACAGAGAGTAGCAGAGTCCAAGAGGGGCCGGCATAACAGAACGGGGAAGATTGCATTCAGAATTCAGATCAGCTCTGATCAGCACAGAGGAGTTGCCCAAATGGTACTTTGCAAGGCAGAAGGGAAGTCATTTCCCTTTTCCCCCACAATGAGTCCTCTCAGAAAGGGACCGTGTTCCAGACCCATTGCTTCCTTTGGGGCCTGGGCCAGCTGGCTTTCTTCTCAGCCAAGGGTGGCTCAGTTGCTCCTGGCGTGGGGTGCTCACACCTGGCTTCCTTCAAGGACAAATCAGGAAAGCCAGCCCCTCTTGGACACTCTATGCCTGGGGGAGCCAAAGACAGATCTCCATGTCAGCTTTGATCCTACCTAGAGAGACTGACCCACCCCACATAGCACTAAGCCCTATGAGGAAGAGGGACCCGGAGGCTCTGAGAAGGAAGCAGAGAGACTGTGAGTACCCCTGTATCCCATCCCCAGAGCTGAGCCAAACAGGAAGAAGAAGAGGAGGGACCAGAAATTACTTCCTGTATGGCCTCAGTTTCTCCTTCAGAAACATAGTACCTGCCTCCTGTCAAGTGGCAGAAAACAGGGGTGAACTGGGGCCAAGGAGAAATCTGGACAGTTCATGAAGGAGCCCATCAGTCTGCACTGGGAAGCCAGCAGCTCTATGCTCAGTGAATGTGGCCTAAAGAAAACAGCCATGGGCATGAACTTTGGGAATCTGCCACCAAGGCCAAATTCCACATCGCCCAGCTGTGCAGCAATCTGGGTCAGCCCAGCTCATCTGTGAATTAGAGATGGCAGTGCCGGTCTCACCCACCTCACCAGGTCACCGGAGAATGAGATGAGATCCCGTTGGCGAAAGCATGCCATGCACTGTGGAATGCTTTGCAGTGTAAGGCGGGGGTTGGGGCAGGAATCGTGACGCAGCTGGGAAAGGACTGAGAGCCCCTGGGTGTGGGCGCCCTGCCGCTTATGTTTTTGGTCAGCCCCCATTGATTGTCCAGATGGCTCCACTTAAATTGCATCCTTCCCTTCCCATGGGCATCCCAGCCTCAAACTGCCTTCCTCTGAGTGCTAGATGCTCCTGCTGGATCCCCCTCACCTCTGTTAACCTGGCATCCCGTCTTCCTTTGAAGTTTGCATATCGTATTCGTATGTGGCGTGTGGGAACAGCCCTTACTAGGCACACGTTCTCAGAAAGCAGGGGAAGGGCTTTCTCTGTGCTGCTCAGCACTGAGCGGCGGTGGCTGCTGCTGCTGCTGCTGCTGCTGCTGGAGCTGCTGGCAGCTCTTCCTTTTGCCCAAAATGCCACGGTGAGAACAGGCGTGGGAGAACCAGGAGGGACCTAGAAGGACAACGGGGATGGAAAGCTACTTCCACTCGGGGAATGAAGTCTACTTCTCACTCTTTGCAAAAGTGCTATGGGGGGTTGGAAAGTATAGGCAGCTCCCATTACTCATGGTGGTTCTGTTCTGTAAGTCACCACAAACACCAAATCAGAGAATACCGATCCATAGCTCCTGGGGTGGTTCCCGGGTCTGGGTTCCTATGAGCCTCTGGTCACAGCATGTCTGTCAACCAGTCAGTACATAACTGCGTTCTGTTTTAAAAACATTTGCGGTGGGGGCAGTGGGGGGGAGCGCCTGGGTGGCTCAGTGGGTTAAGCGTCTGACTCTTGGTTTCAGCTCAGGTCACGATCTCACGGTTCATGGGTTCGAGCCCCGCATGGGGCTCTGTGCTGACCGCACGGAACATGCTTGGGATTCTGTTTCCCTCTCTCTCTGCTCCTCCCCCGTCGGTACTCTGTATAAACAATGTTTATTTATTTATTTTTGAGAGAGAGAGAGACAGAGACAGAGACAGAGTATGAGTGGGGGAGGAGCGGAGAGAGAGGGAGACACAGAATCCAACACAGAATCATGGGGCTTGAACTCGTGAACCACGAGATCATGACCTAAGCCAAAGTTGGATGCTTAGCCGACTGAGCCACCCAGGTGCCCCAGTGCGTCTCTGTGTAAAGCCACCTTATTTAATAGAAATTGTTTCATTAACACGGAATTCACGGCCAACAGCACCACATCTCTTGCCTGAACACAGCTTATCTAGCACATGTGTTTTCCCCATAAGGCATATCATGGTCTTCTCATGCTTAAGAGCCCTAGACAGCACTTCAGCACAACACTTGGGGGCCATTTTAAAGGGTGAAGTCACCAAGAAAATGCACAAAAATATGAAACAAAACGTGGCACTAAATAGACCATGAAAAGGACATTTGTTTATAGTATGAGCTGAAACAAGAAGGCAGAGTATCACTACCTTGTCCAGCCTCTGATGGAAATGTGTGCATGTGACCACTCCAGTTTTTCTCCACTCTGCTCATGTCCAGGAATGACCACAAAGGTGCCATAAGTATCAGTGTGGGGATTTTAAAGAAATGTCAGCAAGTAGGTGAATTTACAAAAATGGAATCCACAACTAATGAGGCTCAGTCGTAACTCTGTACATCAGAAATTTGGCATCCTTGTTTATGAAGAAGAAACATTACCTTCTCATAGTCGTGGCAAGTGGATGAAATAAGGTAATAAAGGACGTTGTAGGTCAAGGTGATGTTCTCTGAAATCTTGAGCCTCCTGATGCTGGGGTCTATGCCAGTGCATGGTCAATCTCAACTCCTCTGGGAGGATACAGCTCAATGAGCACCCCCAGGTCAAGACTGCCTTCCAGCCTGCCCACCATGACACTCCCTCCCAGGGTTAATGACCGAGGAGAAGCTCTGGTCCACATGGCTGGATGAAGAAGAGAAGGTTCCTGGATCTTCTAAGATGCTATAAATCAGAATATAATGTTAAATATAGACAGAGTGAGATAAGCAGATCGTAAGCATACAGTTTGAACAGTTTTGACAAATGGGAAGGCCCAGGTAATCCACACTCCCATCAAGATACACAAAATGTCCTTCATCCAGAAAGTTCTCTCATGCTCCTTCCCATTCTTTCCAGTGGACTTTTCTTCCGAGTTGCTTAAGTTCAGGTTGAAGCCAGACACTATTTCTTCTGATACACTCTCCATTTCATTTTATTTTTATGTATTTAATTTAATTTTAATTGTATTTATTTTATTTATATTTTATTTTTATTTTTATTTTTTATTTTATTTCCTTCCTTTCATTTTAAATAGATGCCAGCCAGGGGCTCCTGGGTGGCGCAGTCAGTTAAGCGTCCGACTTCAGCCAGGTCACGATCTCGCGGTCCGTGAGTTCGAGCCCCGCGTCGGGCTCTGGGCTGATGGCTCAGAGCCTGGAGCCTGTTTCCGATCCTGTGTCTCCCTCTCTCTCTGCCCCTCCCCCGTTCATGCTCTGTCTCTCTCTGTCCCAAAAATAAATAAACGTTGAAAAAAAATTTTTTTCTTAAATAAAAAAAAAATAAATAGATGCCAGCCAGACATTCATGGTTGGGAGAGATGCATGAGGACGTGGCCAGAGAAAGCTGGAGCAGGCAGATCAGAGCAGAAAGTGGCAGAGGACCAGAGGGAGCCCGCAGATGCTTCCCCTGGGGCCCCTCTGTTTGCCAGGCAGGGAGCGTGGTGACAAATGCAGGGGGTTTTATCATGCATGGGGGTGCCATGCCCCCGTAGCCCTTGTCCATACAA